TCTACCGCAGTAACCGACGTCGAAGAAAAACTTAAAAGTCCTGAATACGCACAAACAATGGTATGTAATAAAATACATATCGTCGTTTAAAGTACAAAACCGCGTATCAACAAAATGCAAAACCGCGTATGTGAGGTTGCATAAACTATTTTCTAGAGATTAAAAACACTCATATTTCAAAATGGTTCTCTTTTTTACAAAGCAATTGCATTTCTGGCTAGTATATTTTTGTACTTTAAACTTGTGCATATGCTCTTGCATTTGCATATTCTTTTTGTAAATTCACAACAATAAAATGCACACGGTTGCCATGGCAGCAAGCACAAAATTTGCAAATGCAATTCTAATTGCAAATCCAAGACCATTTCCACAACATCCTGAACCTCCCTGAAGTTTTATGTGTATTTTCGCCCTTCATTTCTTTACAATAAATTTTCCAAAGACGACTTACATACATAAATTAAAAGGAGCGTCTGAAGATGTAAGCAGCGACATACGACACATCTTTACAGATGAAGTGCTTGAGCTGTATAACTGGGATGGAAGGTGGGAGAAGAAGCCATTAAATAAATTATCAATTGTAGATGCAATTCTGCGAGGTATGTATGTATGTATGTATATATATGCATTAACTTTAATAACATTTTTGCATTTTAGACGTTTTTAAACATCAAGGCGTTTTGGACTTTGGGAAAAGCATAAAAAATTCAATCGATCGCAGCCATCACCAAAAAAAAATAGTTAATAAAAAAAAATAAAACTCCTAAGCATTAAAATTATAAAAAATACCAAGTATAAAACAAGTTCAAATTCTGAAATGGAATACAATTTATAGTTAGCCTATAAATATTAATTTAAGTTCTGTTGCTTTAAATAGATTTTAATTTGATAATTTAATTGAATAAAAAATGTATTATTTACTATATTTTTGAAAAAAAAAATACATTAATTGGAAAAATTTTAATACTAAATCATTTATGACAGAGATTTTCGATAAGTATGATTAATTAAATTTGATTTATATTTGCATCAAGTGTGAACATCCTATTTGATAAATATATTCATCAAATGAGGGAATCATATTGCATCAATATTTACATCAAGGCTGATTATAAACTATAGTTTAATATGACGTCAAAACCCATCAATTGTGATCAGTCATATTTGACCAACTTTTATACAGGTATGATTTATCAATACTGACTTAAGATCCCATCAAGCATGATTATTCATATGTGACCAATGTTTATATCATTGGTGATTCACATGTATACTATTTCTTCCATCAAATTTTGCACATTGCCCTTAATATTTTGATAGAAACTTTCATACAAAGTAATGACGAGTATTTCTATCAGGATTGTCCGTCATTTTGTCGGTCATATGATTGTCACTGTTCTTGCAGGGTTAGCCATGCCGTTCAAATCGACAGCGACGCTCCAGCTCTGAAAGTATTCAACTCGGAACCCGCTGGTGGTAGCAGAGGAAGAGGGAGGCCCCACTGCGTTGAAAAGACCAGGTGGAGAAAGACTTGACTTCACTTGGAATATCCAATTGGCGTCAGTAGGATCAGAAGAGAAACGACTGGCGTGCTTTGTTGAACTCGACCAAAAACGCTTTGGCGGTTACAGCGCCAAATAAGAAGAAGATGACCATGAAATAATTGTTATTCTGGGTCTCTAAGTGGCCACGGTGGCACAGAGAAGCTTAACTTTTCTTCGAGTTGTGAAAATAACAAGTGCAACCAATTTGATAGCTAACGAGCATTGATTGAGATTAGATATATTTATATGTAAACGTACTTTTATGTTTTGCCGTACGTACCTAGTACTCACGCATTTTTTCACGTAGCTGATTTTTGCGACCGAATACAAATCGGGTTAGGATTTTTAGTGAGTAGGTCATGGAGTCTGTTCACTTTGCTTTTAATGCGGTTTGTCAAAAAATATACATCAGGTTTGTTCCACATGCTTTCCGGGCTGTTTCGATAATCAGAGCGTAAAAGTCAGTTACTCTCTCATAAGTGTCAAAAATGTGTCATCTGATGAGGAGATGTGGTTATATCCGAAATAGCTTCTATAACTTCTACCGCTTAGACTTTGTTGCTTTTTCAATTTTTGCTAATAAACAATCGTGGTACAAAGCTCAATACAAATATTAAAAATAAAATGTTAATAAGCCACAATAACATTGGCAAATTGTTATTTGCAAATAATACGTGCGTATAAACGTAGTACCAGTTTCTTAGCTTATACCATGTTCTGACCGACAACGAAAACACTTTGAAAACGAGTTTTGGGATTGTGGGCTGAAGGCTGTGCACACCGGTTTTTAGTGTTTTTGTTGATATTTCTTACATCCTTTCATTACAGTTTTGCTGCACAAAAATAAAACCAAAATACTTTTCCGTCATTTTCTCTCATTCTTATTTTACCTTGGCCAACCAATTAACAATAAATCCGAAATGGCTTATTAAAGATGCTAAAATATGACTTCCACTTCGATTAGTAATCGAAGAAAACTAGTGCAGACACCGATTGGAGTGAGTGCAACGTTTTCAAGCAGTTTTCAGTGAAAATTGGTTTTCGTTTGACAGATTTTACATGGATGAAACACACAAGTTTTAGATCGAAATACCAGTTTCAGCGCCGAAAACATGTTTTCGATGTCGGTCAGAACGTGGTATTAGCTTTTTAAACTGATACATTTAAAATAAAAATATTTATATCTCTTTGCTTAAAACACACAAATTTATTTTTATAACTAGTAAATATTCGCACTAAAGCAAGACTACAAAACTAGTTTGTTAGCATATTTAAACTAATGGTAAATCATTCCGAAATATTCCGGGATCCCGGGATTACCAATTTAAGATCCCGAAATCACAAAATGGCCCCGGATTGGATGCCTTCATAGCTCTTCGTTCGAGTTGAAATGCATTTAATTTTTTGATTTGAGTGCAACTTTTTTTATGATATCATTTTGTGGTTGACGTTTTCGTGACTGATCTGGCGGTATGGTCTACTGAGCGGGCATTTAAATTTAAAAACAAGAAAGAAATAGTCTGCTGCATCGATAGTAACCGACTGCTTAAAATGAAAACATGTTTTTATGTTTAAAATAAAATTTATCTATGTACATATCTGTGTTCATATGGAATAGTAGCGTATGTCGAAAGGCTGGCTTTAATATAATGCGGCATTCGCAGCAAACAATTGCGAATGACTCACTAGCACCGAGCCGTTGAAAAACTTTTGGCAAATAAACGTGCAAGAAATAGTTCCGGTACCAGCAAGTCAATATTATTTCTAAGTTTCATCACAAAATTCTAGTCATTTAAAGAAGAAAGGTAGGGACACGATATCGAACCGAAAGTATCGTTATGGTACTCATTTAAAGTATCGCTGTAAAAATATCGGGTACCCAATAATATCGGAATAAAAAGTATCGATATCCGAAATATCGATACCAAAATCAAAAAAAAAAATTTAACATTTACATAACATAAAATTTAATTTAAATGGCACAACATCAAGGCGCACGCAACAAAGCGGAGGAGAAGCTCGGCCAAACACTAACATATTGTGTAAGCGCCGATCTATTTGTTATTATTATTACATCACGTAGAGATTGAAGTGTTGACTTAAACACCGAGACAGTGTTTTCAAATCCCGCCACATGCAATCCTAACGACAGTAAAAAATGTATGTTCTTTAAATTCCAACTTATATCGGCAAGAATTGATAATCCTTTTGTAATTTGAGTTTATGACATTCGATACGATACTAGGGTTCTGGTACTCGATTCCATAAAATATCGTTTTAAAACTATCGAGTAAAAAATGTCGGTATCGAATGCCAAAAGTATCGATATGGTATCGTATCGTATCGAAATTCGTGCCCTAAGTAAAGAGAATCCAAAATCCAAAAATTCAAATTTTTCCCGTAAATAAATTTTTTTTTGGAATTTCTATATTTTCAATAAAACATAAACAGTAATTATACTTAAAAATCATTATATAAGATATAATGTTAAACGTCAATTTATCGTCATTTTTATTAGGCAAAAAATTATATGTGATTAAATTAGTGAAGGAACACTATCAACGCTAATTTGAGTTTAGATTTTAGACTTGAGATCTAAAGTTTGCAATTTGAGAAAAGACTGATTCTGATTTTTAAACATAAGATTTTCGAAAAAAAATTATATTGGAAATCTACAACTTTCATCCATATTTGGATGTACATACATATGTACATATGAAAGTTCATAATAGCATTTATGTGACCGCTGACTAGAGCTAGAAAATTATCGATGTTTCATGGTATATCAGAGAAAAACTATCGATGTTAGTTGGAAAAACATCGAAGTTAGGGAAAATTTGAAAACATCGATACTAGCCATAGTGCCATCGATTGTTTTCCAGCTCTACCACTGGCTTTGGATACATTTTTTAGCAGAATTGTAACAGTGAACATAAGACCTGTACTAATTATCAGTTTACGAATTATTGTAAATATTATGCAGGTTTATAAATTAAATACTGGTATAAATTAAATACTGGTATAAATTAAATACTGATATAAACATAGGTATATGTATATACATTAGACTGCATCACTCCCCGGTAGTGCACTTCTATTGGAATTATAAAATCTATTATATTTTTAGACGTACAACAAAATATTTCGGAAAAATATTAAGATTTACGTGAGCTGGAACGATTTGAAAATACCTCCAAAAATGGAGTTTTTAATGAATAAAAATAGTTTCTTAAAGATATTTTTTTTTTGGAAAAAATCCCCTCAAATGACGGTTTAAGCTTAAAAAATTTGCATAAAAAAACTTAAAAAAGTTTTGAACGTAATCGGAATAATGAGATTTTTGATGCTGTTTTTTTAACTTTTTACAAAGATTGGTATAAGAAAAACTTGAGTAACTGAACCTAAACTCTTCCGATTTACACTTCTGAAGTATCATTGGAAAGGTATTTTCTCACCCTTTATGCTAATAAACTCTTTCAAAGGATGAACGAGAAAGGTAGGATAAACGAACGTCATTAAACGTTCAATTAAGATGTGTTGGTATTTGAAAAAAAAAATAAAAAATTGGGACAAGAATGACTTTTTTTTGGCAGAAATAAAAATAGTGGTAAAATACCTTTCTACTGAGATCCCATAAGTATAAATCAGAAAAGTTTTGGCCAGTTATTCAAGTTTTCAATCTTTGAAAACAATAAAAAAAAACAGCATCAAAAATCTCATAATGGCGATTCCGTTGAAAAGATTTTTAAATATTTTTATGCAGATTTTTGATGCTTAATCTGCTTTGTTATCTGAGGGGATTTTTTTCAAAAAGTTCTTTAAGAAACTAGATATTCATAAAAAAAAATCCATTTTTTGAGGTATTTTTAAATCGGTCCAGCTCACGTAAATCTTAATATTTTTCCGAAATATTTTAGTGGACGTCTTAAAATAAAATACATTTTCTAATCCCGGCGGAAAGACCTCAACTTTTTGGTGATGCAGTCTACTGTACATACATACACTTAAGAGTAAGGGGTTTTTTTAATTTTGAATTGTGTCATTACTGTAGAGAACCATCGATATGTATGTATGTACTTTTTACATTTCAAACCCATTTATTCACAGTGTATTCTTCGTCTTTCGAACAGAGGTTTGGGAAGGCTGTATTTTTGCTCTTTTTGCAACCCGAAGCCGCCGTCGCACAACTTGTATATATCGGGGAGTTTACCACATTTGTTGTTGCATAATTGCATGCAAACAGGAATGCCTTATATGGCTTGGCCGACACAGCGTAAGTGGAGACAGCGCATCCTACCCGAATATTCCGTTCCGCTACCATGACAGTAACATGACCAATGACCCTAGAAGTAAAGCACTTTTTAAAATTTTTGATTTTTCAATGACCAAATACGTACTTACGGGCCTTGATAATTACGCGGATATTTATTTATGTAAGCCATTTTGACGTCATTAACTTCATTGTACCACAAATCGATTGATTTTTGCAACAAGTTTGCAACATTCGGTGTACCATAGAAGCTTATCCAAGCCAGATTCTGACCAGAATATTTGAAGGCATTCGTATTGTGACAGGCATCGTGTTTCATTTGGCACTGCTTGACGTTCAAAGCTGCCAAGGAAGCCAACTCGTCGTCCCATTGCATTGTGGCCATGCGGCAAGCCGGCTTTAATGCAGTGTTGCCACCAGCTACCAAATTACGTTTGGTATTATGGGCATTGATGATCAAATTTTTGTTTGCCTGGTTAAGTGTAAACAGGGCTGCACCTTTGCAGGAAGATGCGAAGTTCTGTTAAGTTAAATCGTTTGCGGATAAGTATTTACGTATGTATATTAGACTGCATCACCAAAAAAGGGTGTGGTTTTTCCGCCGGGATTACAAAATTTATTATATTCGAAGACGTGCAACAAAATATTTCGAAAAAATATGAAGATTTACTTGAGCTGGACCGGTTTGAAAATACCTCTAAGAATGAAGTATTTTATGAATAAAAATAGTTTCTTTAAGAACTTCTTGGAAAAAATCCCCTCAGATGACAAAACAGATTAAGCTTAACAAATCTGCATATAAATATTTAAAAATCTTTTCAACGGAATCGTAGTAATGTGATTATTGACGCTGTTTGTATACTTTTTTCAAAGATATATTTACGAAAAACTTGAATAACTGGATCAAAACTATTCATGTCCATTTTTTTTTCAAATACCAGCACATCTTAATTCGACTCTGAATGACGCTCGTTCATCCTACCTTTCTCTTTCATCCTTCGAATGAGTTTATTAGCAAAGAAATGAAAAGGGTAAGATACCTCACAAGTCTAATTCGGAATAGTTTAGGGTCAGTTATTAAAGATTTTCATATACCAATCTTTAAAAAAAAAATAATACAAAGCATTAAAAATTTCCTTATTACGATTTCGTTGAACATTTTTTAATTTTTTTTAAATATTTTCATGCAAATTTTTAAGCTTAAGCTGTTTTGTCATTTGAGGGGATTTCTTTTATAAAAAGAAATATTTAAGAAACTATTTCTCTTCATGAAAAACTCCATTTTTGGAGGTATTTTCAAATCGGTCCAGCTCACGTAAATCTTAATATTTTTCCGAAATATTTTGGTGGACGTCTTAGAATATAATAGATTTTATAATTCCAATAGAAACACAGAACCGATTTTTTTTTGTGCGGGGAGTGATGCAGTCTAATGTACATATATACACATGTATCCACTGGAGTATTTATTTAGTTCTTTGTTGTTGTAGTGGAGCTTACCCCTGCGTTATTGCATGCTATATGTTTTATCGAGCCGCACAAAGATTCATCACAGTAGTTCGCAGCGAAAACGATCGCAAAAGATGCCGTCAAGAGGGCGAGGACCGCGAACTGCAACTGCATTGTAAATTGTAAAATAGGCGTTTATTTGTATGGTTGAAAATCGATGCATCTACTTGAAAAGCCAGTGCTACACTGCGAAATTTTTTGCGATAACGATTATTTTTAATTGTTAATTGTTTTTAACTGAGACAACTCGCGTAATTATTAGGCATTACGTAAATACATATTATTTCACAAAGCTTAACGAATTCATAAATATTTGCACAAGAGCACGGGTTTGTTTACACAGCCGCACCCGACTTACTGGAAACGGTGGCATACAAAATAAAAATTGGTTGTGTCTGTGCATTGTGACTGTTGGAGCTTTAAAAATTTCTTCTCTTCAGGGTTTTAATGTCTAAGCCTAAATGCGGAAAGGTAAGAATGTGAATAGGCTTTTGTGTTTAGAGATCGCTGAATTCGGGACATTTTTATGCAAAACCCGTTAGGCTTTTTGATATAACACCGCAAAATATATGGCAGAAATGCATTTTATGCATAGTTGATATAAATTGGAAACTACCAATTTGTCAGGTAAACAAGAGATTATTGACAGGAAAGACTAAGTAGTTATATAAACAATGGAAATTCGCAAGCATAATATATTTAAAGAGTCTCAGGAACCAGACCCGGCAGACTAATTTTGGAAAAATACCATCTAGTATTAATAGTATAAAGAAAAGTCGAGATTCTTTGAACACGCTAATCTCGAAAACTACTGAACGGATTTGGACAACATTTTCTCTACTATAATCTGTATCGATAGGAGAGGGACCTTTGGTATTTCGAGTTACGATAACGTTGCAGCCCGTCTAAAAAATTATAAGATCCGTACCGTTCGCTGGATTACAAATAATGAGGTGTTAAATTAAAGGAATTTGCCACTAGATAAACACTTATGTTTTATTTTATGAGTAGCGATGCACCTGTTAAAAAAAATACTATATTCAATTGAATTCAACTTGGCCTACAGATCGCAATAAGCTTTTATTTTTTTTAATAGAGTTGCCGTCTGTCTAAAAATTTATAAGATCCACACCGTTCATTGTATTAAAAACATAAGATTTCAAATGAAAGGGCTTGGCCAATAAGTGTGCAATGAGACATAATTTTTTTAAATAGGGTTGCCACCTGCTTTCTTCAAATTCGTATATGTACATACTTATGTACTCAAAACTTTAATGTTTTGTATACTTTTCAACTTCACATAGATATGTACATATAAGGGTTGTTGCGAATATTCGCATTCGCATTCGCAACTGCGGAACTTCCGCATAAATTATGACATTCGCATTCGCTTGCAATAATCAATGCGGAGCTTTTGCGAATGCGAATATTGTACAAGTGCACTGTTAAAACGTATATCTGGAAAACAAAAATTTTAGCTAATATTTTTTGCCTGTAGAGATACTACGGTAAGACTGTCCCCTACGTCCACCTTCTTTCGTAATTTAAAGTCAAAGCGTAAGATAATAGTAGGTATTTCCAGCGGAAATGTTCAATGGCTGGCTATAAAGAGAATCGAATATTATTTATCAAAGGTCTGTTGAAAAAACTGGATACATCTTTAGTTGTGTTCTACGTTTTCTTAGTGTAATTATTTTTTTCCTCATAAAACTTATTATTCTTAAGTTCCGTGTTTCCTTCTATTAGCCTTTCAGCTCGAAAACAAAAACATTTATTTTACAGCCTTATTCTGTGTCACGAACGATTCGTCTGCAGAGGAATGCTTCAAAAATTAGTTCGGCGGCCTCATTTTAGCCGGTTTAAACGCAACCGAGACAATTGCAATGTAATGTATGAAAAGCAAGACGAAGACGACCGATAGAGTTTAAAATCGCAATCTGAGAGGTTGTCGTCTGCAGACGAATCGTTCGTTTTGCCTATCGTTCGTGATACAGAATAAGGCCCTTAATTTTGTGTAAATTGTCAAAATTAGCACGCATCGAAATAAAGATAAAATGGTATGTAAATATGTCGACAGCCAAGTTCGCAAATTAAATAAGAACTAATGCAAGGTGAATTTTATATCTATTGAGGCGTGGGACTTGGCATGTAATATATGGTTAGTATAGTATGGAAAGGGCTTAACTCACATCGTAGCTGAAATACAAAAAGCTGTAACTAACTAAAAATCCAAAATTAACTTTTTGATTGATTATGATGCATTTCATCGAATCATAAGTCCCCACATTGTTTTAGGCAATACAAAAATTTAGTTAGTTGTGGTTTTTTGCATTTCAGCAACAATGTGAAATAAGCCATCTTAAAATGGTATTAGCGATATATATGTGGGAAATTTGCGTTCAAAAAATATATCAAAACACATTGAGCGCATGGAGTGGAACAACAAAACAGATTTGATAGCTTATGGTACCGACAGCGGTGAGTAATTAATTGTGACTGCCTGCAACTAGGAAGCGCAACTAACTAATAAAAAAAAAACTAATTACAAGGTATTCATTACAGGCGAACCTTTCCAAGGAGTCACCCGAGAACTAAGCAAATCTGAGACCTTTATCGTCCGTTATTCCATAATTCAAATTAATATAAAAAAAGGGGTACCTTTTTGATAAAATAACAAGATTTTAAACTATTTCTGCTGGCAGCCACGACTTTCAAAACAATATTTTCTTCGAAATTTTCATTCCTAGAAACTAACAATTTATTTGCCAAATCCACCTACATGTTCACAACCTCGATATAAGCGCACATTTTTCAAACCAGTCACAGAAGAAAGGATTAAAAATGAAGTACAAAAACTGAAATCGAAAAACGCTGATGACGTAACAGGTTCTCCAAATTCTGAACCAATCAAATGACTTGATGCTCCGAATTGGAACACAACGGTGTTTAAACAACGATCTTGCCATGATGCTAGATTGTGAAGATGAAAGTCAGGAGGATACATCCGACATTTGCAGCCCCGATGCAATTCCCAAAAAGGAACTGTTGCACCGCAATAAAAAAAGAAACATAACTGAAAGTCCTCTCAACTGGTGCAGCTTCAATCGAAAAGCATTTACAATTTTGTCAAGTTTCAAGTTTGTCGCCTCGAGCGAATAGTATTTAGTGGCGCAGGTTTGATTTACGACCCGTTAGGAATCAGGCTGTAACCCGAAAAGGCAGCAAAATTATCCTTTCTTAAATAAAATGTTCCAATTTTTTAATTGAAGTACTAAAAAAAAGAAAACATTACTAAATTTAGTAACTTTTCCATTTTTTATTTACCTACATAAATCACCTAATGTACTCACCAAAATTATTTCTTAAAAATATTTGACATCCGCATTCGCAGCCGCGGATATTAGCTTTTAAAAATCCGCATTCGCATCCGCGGTTGTCTAAAATTCCACATTTGCAACATCCCTAGTACATATGTATTTATATAAATACTTGTATTTATTCTATTTCTATTTCTTCTATTATTATAATAATAATAAAATTACCATTTTGGCACTTCCACTTTTACTAAGTGTTTGGCCGAACTTATCCTTGTGTTCTTACAAAATGCCGCCTTCGAACAGCAAATGGATTTTACGGGAAGCTGTTGTTCATGGCAGAGGGGCGGCCGTTGTTAGACAAGCGTTGTTTCAAATTTAGATCTTGCTCGGACCAGTGACCGAATCGAGGTTCCACGGAGTGACAGCCACAGCAGCCGCTTTTAAAATTGCTATGTACAAATGTGCGTTACATGGTTCTAGTGAGCTACTGGTGGCTGTATGCTCTGTGTGTATTTGTACAAAATTCTAAACAAAAGCAGTAAAGCGAAAATTCTTTAATTATTCCATTTGTGCATTTTTGGCGTTAACGTCACTCATAAATACTTCACATATGGGTGTTTCCATACAGCCGTACGCGACATTCGTACGCTTATAGAGTAACGTTTAGTTTTTATTAAAAAAAATATATAATAACGTACGCGACATAACGTACGCGACAGATTTTTCCCCCATAAAATATTTTTACTAGTAACACATAACAAATTAAATTTTTTCAGTTCTTCTCCCTACCGTTTCGCGTTTTCCTTTTTCCACCATCTGAACACGAAATTTAAAGTTATAAAGCCATTTGAATTCATTTGCTTGCATTTTCGGTTTACATTTTCATGGAAACACGCATATATGCGAAAGTCTGCGAATCATGGGAGTTTTTCTTTTCTTTAAAAATTTCTAAACTAAGCTAAATAATGTACCTTTACAATCATATTTTAAGAGAAATTATCTCTGGCTAGTTTTATATTAAAAAAAAAAAACAATAACGTACGCGACAATTTTTCTCGTAAGTAATAAAATGTATTTATTGAGAACTCTTCCCGCCACCGTTTCATTGTTTTACAACTATTCTAGATAATTTAAATGGAAAATTTGCAATTAACATTGGTTTTGATGTATTTGATTGAAATTTTCGTACTTACAATAACGTATGCGACAAACTTTAAAAGGTAATAAAATTTGTTTTACTTCGGTCGGAAAGAAAATTGTACTGTATATCTTTAACTGGAAGAATTCTCGCTTAAGAATTGTAATCTGCATTACCTGCGACTGCCAATATACAAATGACATAGACAAACAATGTTTTTGCATAACGTACGCGACATTAGAATACTATCAGAAGCAAATCAAAAAATTACCGTTAACCGAGCTCTAACTTCTCCTTTTTTCGCATTTTTATAGTTAGTTGTTATTGCAAATTTGATTTTAAGATGTAATTGTAATGTTTCAAATCTCTTAATTTAGTTAATAGGAAAGAGAAAATAGTTCATTTCATTAGAGAAAACTGAGTCGAAGAGACACAGTTTTACTCTTCAATTTTTGAGTTTTAAAATTGCAATAAGTCGAAATACTTCTATAATATAAAAATTCGAGTATTTTACTCTTATTAATTCGTCTTAAAAACCCTTTTCAGTAGTTTTTATTTTTTCAGTCCTGGTTGACATTTTCATGGAAACACCCATTTGTATGTATGTACTTGTGTAATACGATGTTTACATGAGGAGATGTTACAGGCAACTTTTAGTTGAATGCAAGAATCGCCTGGCGTGAACAGCCTTTCAACTAATCGCTTCCAATGAAGTTGGGCGGTA